GGGAATAGGACAGCACAGCCCCTCCCTTCTTTCTCACCTTGGCTTTCTCAAGCTGGGCTAATGCCTGGGGCTCTGCCTCCTTCCTTAAGGCTTCTCGGTCCTCTTCCAGAGACACATCAGAGTCCGACGGACGGCTGGTGTAGGACTCCGCTGAGCCCTGAAAAGACAGGGCCAGCTCAGGGCCAACACTGCCTCCCCAGCTCCTGGGCCTCAGAAGGCATGGAGATCCCACCCATCATGGATGCCTCAAGCCCCAGGCAGCCCAGCACGATGCCATGGCGCTAGAAGAAGGTGGTATTAGAAGGGACTGAGGTTCGCAGGCCCACAAGAAAGGTGTGGCCCTAGAAAGGGTGACGGCAGCCAGCCAGGGGTTAAGGCAGGTCCAAGGACAGCTGCTCGGGGGCCGGGAGGGGCAGGAACCTGATAGGGGCAGCGCAATAGAGGAGTGCCAGGGGACGAATCTCCCCTCCCTGCTCCTCGTTCCTTCCCCTCCCCTCAGCACCAGCCGAGACAGACTCAGCAGAAGCCCAGTGGGTCCTTCCAGGGACTGTAGCCACCAGCGTAGGCCTGAGCTTTCTGCACTGTTGGCAGTGGGCAGCCTGCTCGGCACGACGGGGCCGCCAAAAGTTCCGCTGTCTTGTGCTCAAGGGTGAGGGAAGACAGAATCCTACCTCCCCCGGCAGAACCAGGGGAGCCCCAACCCTGAGGCTCTCAGAAGATACAAAAGAAAGTCCAAGATTCCTGAGATGGTGCAGGCAGCAGAGGCCAGTGAAGAGCAGAACATGGGGCAGGCCTTTCCTTACTGCCAGGGTTGCAGCTGCCAGGGGTAAGGCCGGCTCAGAAATGGGGGTGCGCCAGGACCACATCGACCATCCCAGAGCATAACTCCTTCAGCGATGCAGGCACATGTGTAAGACACGAATAGTCCAGACCCGCAGTGTGAATGAACACGCTTACTCCTGGGTGCGCTTGGATGTGCAACTTCAAGTCCATTTAGGAGGGTGTGTGCTATCGTATGTGCTGGATGTCATGACTGAATGCACATACAGGGGGCACCCTAGGTGTCAGTGTCCCTGAGGGTGTGCAGCACCTGAGGGCAGGAGCCAGGAGGCGTGGATTTGTGTGTCTGAGCAGCGGTGCTGTTGCTACAAGGGGTGGGAGGTGACGTGGGCAAGAAGAGGACTGAGGAGGTGTGGGGGTTTTTGTTCCTGAGGGCAGGAAAGGGTCACTTGTCCAGAAATGCCCATTAGCTTGGTATGGAGGGGCCCTGAGGAGAGAAGACACAGTCCCACCTCCCTCAGAGGGCCCTGGTCATTAGCTAGTGCGGCCGTCCATCCTCTCCCCAGCCAAATCATGAAAATGGGAGAGTCGTGAGGGGACAGGTTGGAGGTGGGGGGTGAAGTCACTAACAGAAGCTGGAAAAGAGACGTAAAGGAAGGAGCGTGGAAACCAGTTCGACTACCACTCTTCACCCCTCCCGACGGGAGCACTCAGAGTCAGGGAGATAGATGCACAGAGAGCCAGAGAGAGTG